GAGGTGACTGCTGGAAACTTCCCTCTCCAAAAGGCAGTACCTGCTCCTATTTGTAGCTGGGAGAGTCAACGTGTGCGTGGGTAAATTACTGTAACAACTGTCTTCTTGATTACCCTTATATTCTTCTCGCTCCTTCATAATGCTTCCTTTCTTTCTTATTCTTTCCAATAATCTATTGTGTCTTAGTGGCTTTACTACCTTGAAAGGGGTAGATGAGTAAAAAAAAAATCAAGTTTTTTTTATATATTTATATTATATATATTTATATAATATAAATTTATATTATATTTATAATGTAATTATTATTGTATCCATATTTTATAATATAATTTAATTGTATTATATATATTATATTTAAAGATCCTTGATAAAATCCAAAGGAGAATCTGCAATGTCATTGGTCCTGACCTGGCATCTCAAAGTGAGTCACTTATCCACTGCCGTAATGTAACTACCCTGTGACTTTTCTATAAATACGCTTATGGCAATTGTTCGGATGAAATCTCCTCTAGAGTAACAACTTATTCTCTCGCTTGTGGAACTCTCTTCCGGCTTCTTGATTTGCAGTTAAATCTGATCTTCAAAAATGTAAATGCGATGTTAATTGCTATCTTATGTTTTCTTAATTCCTGTTCTTTTATAGTTCTCTGTTCTTAATGTTTTTTATATTCTTTTACACTCAATAGCCACCCCACCCCGTTCAGTCTTAGTGGCTTTGTTACCTTGCTTGAGGTGAAATGATTATATATATATATATATATATATATATATATATATATATATATATAAAATAAATTTATATATATTATCCTATATAATCAAAATTTATATATCAAGATTTATAGCAGAAGCCAAAATATATCGCGCTGTTTAGCGATAATCATGACTTAACGAGCTGATCTATTTAACATTTTTCCACTGGATAATTAACTTCAATTCTCAAACCGTTATGACCTTATGTCAGACCTAACTAATTTTACTACATTCAGGCACCTGGTCCGTGGTTGATGTCGAAAAGTCGTCCTACCTGCCACTTAAACATCTGCCAGTTTTAAATTCAAGGAATTCTTTTACTGATGACAGGAAGCGGTTACACACGACCCACCGACTGCAAGGAGAAAGAAAAAAAACAGTGTTCCGCGTTCATGAGCAATGCAACAAGTAGCAATTGAAGGTATAGTTAAATGATAAGAGCGTCGGATGATTGTTTGCGTGGTTCAATGTCACATTTTTAATTTTGAATTGAGGATGCTCGTTAACATATGTTCAAGTTGATTTTTTTCATTTTATATTTATATTTTTATTTTTTTACATTAATCTATATGCCATGTCCATTGAGGACATGAACTGTCATGGCTCTCCACAAGTTCTGCTCCTTTGTAACTCTTAGTACCGTTCGTTTTGTCACCATCACTTCCAGGCCCTGTTATGCCATCCATTTGCACAAGCTTTTTAAGTACGCTACTCGCTGTTTCTATTTGTCTTCTTTGCATTCATTTTTCCTGTGAGGATTAAATTCTCCAAGACCTGTTTCCTCATTAAATTCTTTTGAAAGAATTTAATGCATACAGTATAAACAAAACGGATAACAGACACAAAATTTAACGAGCGTGATAAAACAGTGACAAACGAACCCACTATTCAGACGTAATTGGTCGGATGAGACAAGCTTCCGTTACGCTAGTCTGATTTAATCAGGTAATTATCTAAGCATAGCTTAGATGTGGCACACAGCTGAAAGTGTGGATCGAACTCATTACTCAGTCGTAATTGGTCCAGTGAGACAAGCTTGCTAACCGTTACAACTAAGCGTGGCTTAGATGTGGAACTAGGCCGAAACAGTAGGAGCGTCTAGTCAGTCGAAATTGCTGACCATTACCCTACGCTGAAGTGCCCAGATGTAGCTTAGATGTGGAACACACCGAAGTGCTCATAGAGCAAAGACTTATATTTTGTTTACATCTTATACAAGATGTCTCGAGAATCTTAATCTAAGTCTGCCGCTAAGAAGGTTAGTTAACTGTGTCGTATAAGGCAATTTTTCTCTTCAGAATCTGTTACAAATTCAGAACTCTACCGTTCGTCCGCGTCTTGAATGTTGCTTCCATATTTGGTCTGTTGATCCTACACTCTATCTCGATATTGTCAAATCCAAAGAAGGATCTGCAATGTAATCGATCCTGACCTGGCGTCTCGACTTCAGAAACTTTACCCACCGACGTGCCGTGGTTTCCCACTGTCTTTTCTACAAATATTTTCCCGGCAGCTCTTCAAATGACATCTCGTTCTTGGTATGTCGACCGCATGAAATTAAACGTACTACTAAATAGCTAAATAGGTCTCACAATTTTACCGTTCAAATAACTAAAGATATTTCGATTCTAATAGTTTCATCCCTCGCATTTCTCGACTGTCGGAGTCTATTCCGTTTTTGTTTGGGGAGGGGTTGCATCCCTGCAACCTCAAATCTTAAAAAAAAAGAATTTAACATCACTCGCCATCTTCCCTCCCCCTGAACCCTATTTATTTGTTATCCTTTCTCCCCACTAAAGTTGTCATCTTTTCTTTCACTCCCAGTAACACCTTGCATCTTATTGGCATTATCGCCTTTCTTGGAGTGAAAAAACTAAACAATATATGTATAATGTAAATATATTAGTATTAAGTTTACTTTAGAAATGTATTGAAAATTATGAAGATAAGTAGCGATTTTCCAAGCGTAGCTTAGATGTGGCACAAGGCCGGAATTATGGGGCACCCAGTGAGGATCGAACACACTACTCATTCGTAATTGTGCCAGCAAGACAAGCTTGCTAACCATTACACCGCCTCGGGATGTCCAATTAAGAAGATAAGTATGTCGTATCCTTTTGGCACTCCCACATTAAAAATAAAAGAAGCAGAGAAAATTTCACCTTTCAGGACTAGCAACTGTTGTAAAACTTCAACATATAAAAAAACAAAAAAAAAACAAAAAAAAACTGACAATAACAACAATCCACGACCAAGATACATCGGCTCAAAGTGTAATATCTGTTCCAGCAGCAAACAGACGGAATACGACTCCAGCAGCAGTTCCTATTAGTCATCACCCTCATTAACAGCAGCCGCAGCTCCAGTCAGGCAGCAGGCTTCCAGCTCCAACCAGCCATACTCTTCAGCAGCAACAATATGCGATAAACTGTCCTTTTCAGGACAACTACAAAACTGACCTTTTCAGAACAACACTTTTCAACGACTACAAAACTGTCCTTCCCTGGGAGGCAGTCGTCAATGCTTTTGTCACCCTCTATATGAACATGCAGAGATTTTTTTTGCCTAGTACACTACAACCTTATTTATGTCGATGTATTTTCTCTAACGAAAATAAATTTAGCAATATATTTTTTTACTCAAGTTTTCGTTTTATTTATTGTTGTCTTCCGTCATTCAATATCTGTTTTCGGGCCAATATACCACCCGCAACAGGTATTATCTGTGATCAGGAATTAATGCAAGATTTACTGAGAAAAGTGAGTGAAGGTATCTACAACGTAACTGCATTGCTAATAATGTTACTAAATATTATGTCAGATCACTAGTGCTACTGGCACCATATAACGCAATACTACTTGCCACATGGTCGGATTATCGGTGACTAAACTCACTCCCACTATGCTTTTCTGTTGAGGTCGGTAACTAGACGAGACACCCAGTAAGTTTTTTAAAAAAAAAAAAAGAAAAAAAAAAGACCGCTCAAAGGTCGAACCTACTTCTAGGGTCAATGGTCATTTAGCACAAGGGTAGGGAGACTGGGCTGCCTCCAGTTGGTTGAAGACACAGCGTTGCTGGGCTGAGGCCTTCCTAGACGGAATTCAGCGGCCAGTTCCCTCGATGGAATCAACGGCTGCGTGCCTGTGACCAAGTCAAGGCTCCAAGTTGAAAGGGTATCGGCTGTGATTTCACGTATAGAGGGATGGGTTCCGCTCGGACGACTTGCGCAAGACTCGTTACTCATGAATGAATTAGACTCTGGCTTTCAACCCAGATATGTAGAGTGGATTGGTCAGGTGCTCAACTGCGCAGCGACCCTGCGATCAAACCCAGTCACGTGACTGATGATGATGATTAAAATGATGATGATTTACTGAAAATCTGACAGAAAAGTATAGTCAATAGACAGGAATTAAAGCAAGCGTTACATATAGAATATAATATTACAATGTTAATTTACTACTAATAATTTGACGATATTCAGGTTTTGAAATTCTGGAAGAAAGGAATTATCGTTGGTCTGGAATAAATGCAAACCATGCAAAAATCTATTACACGTAAGAGTTGTAAAAATATATTTCCAACAATTAGTCATTCCAAATAAATAAAACCTATATTTGGTGATTTGTTCAGATTTTAAGAAGTGTGTCGGGTCGATAACTGTTCAGCAATGCCTTTTATGTCGAATATAAAACGGTCTACTAATAATACATCTTTAGAAATATACTGAAAGTCAGGAAGAAAGGGCTTGGCAGTGATCAGGAATTAATACAAGCATTACCGGTAGAATAGGACGATTATATATATAATGGACATCCATCGCTTTTGATTTTACTTTTAATATTAGGAATACAATGCACAGAAAATATGAAAGAAGGGATAGTCAGTGGTCAGGAATAATGTAAATACATGTGTATGGTAAATGCATTGCTAATGATTTTACAATAGAAATGCACTGAACATCTGGAAGAAGGGATTATCAGTGGTCAAGAATTAATATAAGTATTACTGATAGAATAAGGCAAATACATATGTATGGTAACTGCATTGCTGATGAAGTGATTGTCAGTGGTCAAGTGTTAAGGCAAGGGTTACTATCAGAACAATATATAATTGTCAAAGGAAATTAACATTAGCAGAAGAAAATTTTCTCCATTAAATTATTGGTTAAAAAAACTCTGAAAAAATTGCCCCTTCCATTTATTTTATCAATTGTAAGTAAAGGATTTACCAGCTATGTGACGATCATGATAGCCAAAGCCACCGATGTGAAAATCATAAAAATACTTGAAATTCAATGAGGCTTCATCTCTTTTGCCTTTTGCTTTTATTCATTCATGTCCATAATATCCTTCTTCTATGTGATTATCCCTCCGTGATTATTGGCGACCATAGCTCTTGACGATTTCATATCTCTCACGGCTATACCCACCGTCCCGCCATCCATTAACACTAGCTCTTCAGCTAGGTGTCCTGCTTGCATCATCATTTTTCTCTTTGCGTTCGATATGTGCTGAGGGTTGTCCAATATGGTAACTGTCAAATACGTCTTCCACTAAAAATAATGGTTACAATGTTAAGCTGGAAACGTGCACTTAATACATGATTTTTATGAAACTATAATACTGGATTTTTATAAACTTATTATTAATACAAATATATCTGAAATGACAATTTCAGATTTACACACACACACACACATATATATATATATATATATATATATATATATATATATATATATATATATATATATATATATATATGCCGGGGGTAACAACAAAATAGTTCAAATCGTTAAACAGTATAATTATCCAACCGACAAAATATTTAATATCTAAAAAACCACTAAACTAATTGAGTTTCTTTTTTCCAGGTTTTTAGATAAGACGTTTTGCCATATTGACACCGTTTGTCGTAAGAATCACTGAAAAAACTTTTAGATATTCTACTAAAAAATAGAGCAGCTTAAAATCATTTTGTCAGCCCCACTGTGTCTTCCCAACTGAGCAATGGTGAGAGGAAAAAGATTATTCAGGCCTTCAGTAATGGTACCAACATTCATACTCTGGCTTCTACCTTCAAAGTTCATTCAAGAATCAAGACAATGGTGAATAAGTTTAAAGAAGGAAGGAACAGTAGAGGGAGGAAAACTGGACCAGGACGTCACAACTGGAGGAGGCAAAATCATTTCAACTTAAAGCTAAACACATTCTTACTGTTCAAAGTAGAGTTCAATAGTTTTATAAAAACCTCGGAAAATTCCAGTAAGATATCTTTAATCATTTCTAAAATACAACGGTTCAACGCTTAATCTAACAATTAGACAATTTTGCTGTTACAGGATCTGAACAATTTTGCTGATACATCAAGTAGTTTATTATTATATCCAGGAAGAACGAAAGAAAGAAATTATACTTCTAATTTGACGAATCCATCTCCTTCGGTACTATATAGTTTTAAAATTTACTTGCATTTGAAGAAATGCGGCGATCTGTGGTATTTTGAATGCAAGCCAAATTAGGATTCGACCCGTCTTTCAAGTTTGTTGTCAACCATGATAGTACAATACCAAAAAATACAACTATCATCTGTTCTTTGTTGCCAACAAGGAAACCGTTAGTATTACTTAACGTCTATTCAACTCAACCGTTACAAGCATTTTTTTTAGATGCCATACCCTGTAAGAAACGTGGCTCTCCACACATTCCGTTTCCTTATTGTCTCTGAATGACCGTCCGTCCTTGTGAACGATAGTGGAATGGTTTTCTCGTTACATTCTCCATGATTTCTAGTTTAAAATTTACCTTTATCCTAAACGCAAAACGTGGTCGGCTCGTCGAGTTCAAATTCCAAACGATTCAGTTTCATTCACTTTCACACAAATACACTTGAAAAGGTATGAAATCATCTTTAAACTAGGACTTAACATTGTTTGGGAATTAGTCTAGGAGAAGCGATACTCTACATTTAACATCGGTTGGTGTGTGACTAACACCTTTACCCCTAATAAATGCCTACTTGCTATGTAAACTATAACAGGAACACCTAGTGTAGTGGAGCTCTGGCCATATACTTTACAGGTTGTTAGTTCTTCAAGATTTCCCTGATTCTATCGATACCTGAAAACAGTTTCAATTAAATCATTAAGAATTCCAGAGAAATGAAGAATTATTGGTATTTTCTGTCTCCCACCATTAGAAATTGGGACAGTATGCGGTCATGTCATACTCTTGGGAAAGGCATAAATCCACTCGTCCCTTTAGCTATGAAAAGAACATGATTTTCAAGCCTTGGTATTTTACCACATATAGGTAAATCAGTAGTGTAAATTATTCTCGCTGGCCTTGTTTCGTAATCAATCTGAATTTTTTTTTTAAAAAACTGTGATTCCCAACAAAGGATAGACCAAATGAACATGAAAGCTCAGTACTTTTCCTACTATTTTTACATAGATGGGAGGATCGATGACTTTCTCAAGAGTATAGAAGTTTATACTTGGTTACCTGTTATCAGTAGCAAGGAGTAATCTGAAAACATCTTATTTAAGGAAATGGAACAAGCCTGTCTTAAAAGACTTTCTGATTCTTAAAAAACATTCTGATTCTAAACGAAGTTTAGAATCAGAATGTTTCTTCTCCTACAGTGATTGCTAAACGAGTCCAATCTACCCTAGTGTTTTGTTTATCAGGAGTAAGAGACCAGTTTTCCTGTTATTTACCTATAACTAAAGGGAGGAGTGGATCCATGACTTTCGAGAGAGAGAAGTGAAGGTAGACTGCTTCATTTGAACGCTGTTCGCCTATCTTGTTTTTTGTTTTCCTTAGGACAAACACACTTTTAAATGACGGCATCGTTTGCGAAATCATTTAAATAAAAAATTAATAAAAAATGATAGAACTAACAGTTAAAAGCCTGAAAGCTTATCGGAGAAATATTTCAAGAAATATGCAACAGAAACAAGCCATGAACTTACAGAAATTTTCAGTTATTTCATTCGAATGTTTGAAAATAGAATGGAAAAAGATTTTTTTTCTAACTCTGTCAATCGAATTTTGATTGATACATCAAACGAGACATTGTCTTTTCAGAAACCGACAAGTCATCGGCTTCAAGAATGAAGAAATTTCCAGTCAAGTTCCATTACCCTTTTTGCATCACATTTGAAAAACAAACACAGATTTTATCAGTGACCAAAATCTTACCCAAATAAATTTCTTTTTCCTCAGATGGGTCATTCAAAGGGGCCGATTGCTCCGTATCGTCAGTACCCGCTCTCATCCGATCATCATGAGTGTCCTCCGTTCTCCCTATTCTCTTTCAATGGTGGCGGTGGTGTCTGTGGAAACTCAGCCTACTCTTGAAGAGTGTGAACAGGTGTCACAAAGGAGTGTGGGCGACAGCACATCGCAGATCTTCATCATGTAGACGGTTGAACTCGAAAGTCGTATCCCCCTCTGTGATGGTCCTATGTCAGGAAGGCTGATTTGCAGCAACGGTTTCCCAGGTCTCAGAGTCGATGTTGGCCTGTGTCAGGGATGTCTTCAACTGATCTTTGAAGCGCCGTTTTGGACCTCCCCGTAAGCCATTTGCCGCTGGCTAGTTCTTGCAAACAGGATGATACGTGGGAATAGAGTGGGAAGCATTCTGGACAGGTGACCCGCCCAGCAGATGCAATGTTGAAAGATGCTCACAATAGCCATGCATTGTAATAATTTTCGCATATGTAATCAATTTGTAATAACAGATTACGTTTGCATTCCACTAAACACGGCTCCCTTTAACAAATTGTCTTCATTTTGAAATGTTAAAAACGACATTTGTTTGATTTTTTTGTTTTTGCTTTTTTTTTTGGTTTTGTTTTAAGAATCTATCAAACTCACTCTCTCCTTCGATCTCTCTATCTCTCTCACACTCTTTCGAACTATCAATCTCACTCTCTCTTACGATCTATCTATCACTCTCACTCTTTTTTTCGATCTATCTCTCTCTAATTCTCTCTTTTTATCTATCTATCTATCTCCCCAACTCTCTCTCTCTCTCTCGATCTATCTATCTATTTATCTATGTATTTCTTTCTCTCACTCTCTCTCCTTCACTCTCTCTTTCAATTTATCTATCTCTTTTACTCTCTCTTTTAAGAAAAGTGTGCTGAATTGCTATGTGATGTCAATTCTCTTGTATGCTAGACAATTTCACCACAGATAAATAGGAAACTGGAGGCAACAGAAATGTTGATCTACAGAAGGATAGTCAGAATTTCACGGCCGGAACGAGCAAGAAACGGGTTATTTTTAAAGGAAAAGGTGACATACTCAGAATCAGAAAGAGATAGCTGAAATTGCTTGGGTACATAATGAAGAAATGTTTTTTTTTTTTTGTTGTTTTTTTTTTTTTTTGGAAAACTTAATTCTCACAGGGTATATGAAAAGCAAGAGGGATTGGAGAAAGCAGCGGACCGCCTCCCTGGCGAGAGTAAGCAACGGAAAATCCTTAAAGGAAATAGTATAAAAAAAACACTTATACTCAGAATCAGGAAGAGACAGCTGAAATGTCTTGGACACGTGAAGAGGGAGGAGATGACAGATATTATCACCCACAAGACATATTGAGAGTAAGAGAAATAAGGAAAGGCATCGGAACACCTAACTGTCGAGCTTGGATGGTGGAATCGGGCTAAGAGCCATGAGGAATAGCAAGTTTTGAAGTGCTATGATCGCCGACGTCCTCAAGGGACACGGTACGTAAATGGTGTCCGACTTTATTTACTGGAGATTCATGTGGGTATTGTAACAAATAATGGCAAGAAATGTGGAATTGACAGGTTGAGTTCAAATTCCCTACAGTTCACCTTTCAATGACAACCAGCGAAATTCTGAATTCAAAACAGCGAAGAAATCAACGGGAAAATCACCCCGCTATCCTCCCCAAGAATGTATGGCAACAAATATCTAATAACAAAGCGCAGTGTACGTGTGTCCGTCCGTCCGTCTGTTCGCCCATCCGTTTTCCATTCTCGGTGAATGATAAACATCCTGACGTAACAGGTCTTAACTACTGTAGTTACATGCGATTAAAAATTAATTAAATAACTCATTTAAAGTTAAATTTAAATATCGAATAGAGGGAAAGGATAAAAAAAAACAATTCTTTATTAACGATTTACTTTAATTTCACATTTCGTCGCAATTAATTAAACCACAATTAAAACTTAAACGAAGCACGGTACATTGTTCATATGTTTTTTTTTTGTTTGTTTTGTTTTTTTGTTTTTTTTTTTTTGCGGGGGCGGGTTCTAGCACGCGTACTGTGACGTTTTCGAAATATTACATAGTTTGGATTCCCTAATGTCTTTTAATAGTGACTGTGTGTGAAGGTATCATAAAAAATGGTGGTTTTAAAAGAAAATAAAAATTGCGCCCAAAATAAATGTAAACAAACTACGAAGATCGGCTGTGTATACGAAGAAAGATTATGCCGAATTAAGGTGTCGAATAAAGATAAAATAATTTCATTATTTCTAAATTCTTAAAACTTTTACCTACGTAGGACGCTGAAGATAAAAGGCCGAAAGTCGAAAAGTCGTCCACAGGAGCTAGACTAAAGTCCGCCAGAAGGGCGGCTTCTAGGCTAGTAATTAATAATAAAGGATTTGTTGGAAGTCATAATCGTCTACGTCATGGAGGCAAATGAAAGAGAATATTGTTTTTGCGAATATATTTCTGTTGTTTGTGAGCGGCATACATACAGCTGGCTGATTGGGAAAGCAATAAAAAGATGAGTCAAATATAAGGACATTTTTAAGATTTCTCGAACATCGTGCAGCAAAATTTTGCTTAAATAATCAAGGAAGAAGAAAGAAATGCTTTTCGGTATGTACCATATAAAAAAAATATCGAATATTTTTTTCTTCTGAATCATTAGTGGTCGATCCTTGAAAATAATAATTTCGAGAAAAATATTAATTTTTTCAACCAATGGCATCATTGGTTTAATTAAAACAAGTATTCGATAGCGTAAAAATGATCGATTCCTTTTTTCTTCTTTTTTTTTTTTTTGTTCTTTATCAATATTCGATGTTTTTAATTTTGTTGTTAGATGCCAATTGATCCGGACCACTTACAATAGACGATTTCCACACCTCGGATCTTAATAAAATCAGGACAACATTTTATGGGTCGTTTACCTTATTCCTTTATGACGCATGCATAGCAGGGTACCTCATTCCTTGGCATATGTTGTTTTGCGACTGGTGGTGAAAAAAAAACAAATACTTTTTCTTTTGATTCCAAATGCTTGAGTTATTTTGGTAGCCTTTTTTTCTTTTTTTTTTATTTTTGGTCGTTATTTAATCATGAATTTACGTCTTATATTGTTTGCAGTCTTTGATTTCATTTATCGATCAATCGATTTGGCTTCCTCATATTTCTTCACTCTGTCACAATAACGTTTTTTCTCTCTATCTCACTCCTTCTTTCGATCTCTCTCTCTCTCTCCCTCTCTCTGATTCTCTTTCGATCTATCTATCTATCTATCTATCTATCTATCTATCTATCTCACTCTCTTTTTCGATCTATCTATCACTCGCTCTCTCTCTCTCTCTCTCTGTCTATCTATCCCACTCTCTCTTTCGATCTATCTATCTCTCCCACTCACTTTCGATCTGTCTATCTTTCTCTTTTACTCTTTCTTTCGATCTATCTATCTATCTATCTATCTATCTATCTCATTACCTATATCTGTATTTGCATTTCTTTTTAATAATTCTAATATTTCTTTCTCATAATATTAATTAATTTGGATTTTGTTCAGTATTTTCTTTTCTTTATTTCTTTCTTCCTTCCTTTCTTCCTTCCTTCATTTCTTTCTTTCTTTTTCTTTATTTGAAGTTTCGCTCTTAATTTCTTTCTTCTGTTTGTTTTCCTTTTCCTCCATTTCTTTCTTTCTTCCAACTCTATATTAGTCCTGAGTATGACGATAAACTACATCCGGCAGTAAGGTCTCCGAGTAGGATATTAGAAGTTTTGAAGTGCATGGAAACACCTCTTAACTGTTCTTGTTCCTAAGTCTAACTTGACACGGGATGGTAGAACCTGTTTGGGCCCCCGCTATCGGTAAATAGGGACCCCCCACCAAGCAAAAACAAAACTCTATGAAAATATATTTTATATTAAAATACCAACAATACCTATTTCTAGTAAAATTAACAAAAATACATTTTATCTGTGGTTAAAGGCATACAATTGCTTTCTAATTATATTGAGTTGAAGCTATAAAACTGTGTTCAAAATATTTAGATGTCGGCATTAACCCATAGCGGTGTTGATATTCTGTTAAAGAAAATCAACCAAACAACCAACTTACAACTTTATTTCTTCTTTCTTCCTTTCTTTCTTTCTTTGTCTATTCTGTTATCGTTTCATTTTATCGGTTCATTTTTCTTTTCTTTTTCTTTCTATCGCTCATCTTTTCTGTTCTTTTTTTTCTTCCTTTCTTTACATTTTCTCTGTTCTTTCTTTGTGCAATTCATTTCTCTTTATTTTTTCATTTTATTTACAGTTTCTCATTGCGTTCTTCTTTTCTTCTTTTTTCTCATATTAATCAGTTATTCTCTTCTTTCTTTCCTCAATTATTCTTTCTTCCTTTCACTGTCGTTTGTCTCATATGCCTTTCTTTTCATTCTTTCTTTCTTTTTCTTCTTTTTTTTGCGCTTTCAGATTCTGCTTTCTTTATTTATTTCTCTTGTTTTCTTTCATTTTCTACATTTTATTTCAGTTTCTCTAAACTTATCTTTCTTTCTATTTCCCCTTTCTTTCTTTTTTTCTTCCCTTTATTCATTTGCCCTTTCTATCTCTGTTGCTTCTCACTCCACTCATTCTCTTCTCGATTTTTCTTCCTTTTTCTTTCTCTGTTGATTTTCCTTTCATTCTTCTTTTTTCTTCCTTTCTCCGCAATTTGTCTCTTTCTTTTTCCTTCTTTTTTTTTTCTTTTCTCTCCACTTTCATTCTTTATTTCCTCTTACTTTCTCGGCTGTTTCTGATACCTATCATCCTTTCCTCTATTGTCTTTCTTAATCGTTTTTTTGTAACGTTCCTTTCTTCATTCTCTCTTTCTTTTTCTTTCTTCTGATACAATATGTCTCTTTCTTTTTCTTTCTCTTATTTTCTTTATTTCTTTCATTTTCCTTTTCCTTTTGTCTTTCTTTCCTTCTTTATTTATTTATTTACTTATTTATTCATTCTCTCTTTCTTTCAGTTTCTCGCTTCTATCATTCTTTCGACTATTTTCTTTCTATCATTCTTTCTTTCTTTCTTTCTTTCTTTCTTTCTTTCTTTCTTTCAACTTTATACCTCGTCGTTTTATTTATTTAATTCTGAAAACATTACGTTTAGCCGACACTCTTTGTACTTATTGCATTGCTTTAATTGATATACATATATTCCGTGGACTTCGGGTATCGGTCAAGTGTTTGGAGAGGAGTGGGCGCCGCCAAGTTATCTGAAAGCAAAGTGAAAGGAGCATGAGGAAGAAAAATCAAAGGCTGTATATATATATATATATATGTATATATGTATATTTAAATTATTCGGACTATTGTCCTCATCTTTGTTGCCATATTTATCACAACGTTTCGGCCATTGTACGCTCCGACCTTCTTCAGGTGGTTGGAATGTCGAACTGAACCCTTTATTTCGCTCGCTGGAGTAAACTGTTTAAACAGTGACTATTATTGCTAATAATGCAAGACTCTCCCAGCGGATTGAGTTCGCTAGGTCACTCCCGTGTTTATGAAAAAATAAATACGGAAAAATCCGCCTTTCTCTTTTGAGGGCATCGATTGGCTAGGGGTTAGAATCTCCGACTGATGCTAAATCGGTCGAGTTTCGGTCCCGGATTGAAGCGACCGGATGTTTAGCCACACTTATGAACTGATAAATATATATATATATATATTATAATATTATATATTAACTGATTTAAAATATGGTATAAGAACACTAGATTATATATTTTTCTTTTTATTATAATTAATTAATTAATTAATATATATATATATATATGTGTGTGTGTGTGTCTGTGTTTCGAGAGAGAGAGAGAGAGAGAGGCGTTGGAAATCGTTAAAATCGCATCAAATTTATACAAGTCTGACATAATGCATTGTTTTTTTTTTTATAGATCCCTTTCATTCACACATATTCTTGTTTGTATTAATTTCTGCTGCACACACACACACACACACACACATATATATATATATATATATATATATATATATATATAAAGAGAGAGAGAGAGAGAGAGAGGGTGAATGAAAATGGTCGAAACCACATCAAATCCATACAAGTCTGCCCACACGCATTCAGGCGTGTATAGGCGTGTGTTTACTAAAAGAAAATGCGTAGAATTTCCAACTGTAAGAAGCTGTGAAATAAATGCATGATTAATGCGGCGCTTCAGTTTCACAATACAGAGAATGACAAGTATGTTATTATTTCTCAGCAAAACAATCTGAACAGTAACAGAAATCCATGTATTAAACAGGACAAAAGAAGGGAAAAAAAACTCGTATTTCCACCATGAGTTGCACTGATAGAAATAATATTTTCTTGTTTTATGCCTGGATGGAAAAATGGCCATAGAAACAATCCCAATTCTATCAGTTATGCATGAATTCATTCCTGACCAATGACAATCCCCGTTTTTCTTTATTTTTTTTATGCATTTCTATAGTAAAATCATTAGCAATATATTTCTATTATACATATCAGTCAGTTATGGGCCATGGGTGTTACACGCATAGGCACATATCTTTCGATGCATGACTGACAAAACATTTTTTCTTTCTGCGGTAGACCAGTTGCCATCCAAGGCTATAGAACCCGGTCTGACTTCTATTTACTCCGAGCAGGGGGTGGGGAAAAGAAGAGGATCCATACCTTTCCGAAGGGTATTAGTATGTAAGTGAATGTTATGGAGCCGACTGGAATTCGAACTCGGCTCTCTGATTGCTCCATCCGAACCGCTACAGATTACACCACTGTGCCTTCTATCATGCATATAATAATTCTGTTATGTCAGTTATGCTTGAATCACTTCCTGGTAACTGACAAATTCTTGTTTCTTGTTTTCTATTATATTCCTAAAGTAAAATCATTTGAAATGTATTTCCCCGTTATACGTATAATCGCCATCTCCTATCAGCAATATCTGAATTTATTCTTGATGCCTAACAAAGCCTTACGTGTTTGATTTTCAATGAAATTTTACAGATAACCATTAGCAATGCATTTACATTCGTCGTCGTCAACTTTCATCGCGCACCCCAGATAATTTATTCTTCGTCTCTGATCGCTTCCTTTATGATGATGGCGTTGATGACTAAAATCGCGGACAGGTTTGGGACTAGAAACTTCCGGTTTCACCAAAACATACTCGTCATCCATTCCTTATCACCGTTTGGCTTTGCAAGAGTTGCTCAGAGATGAAAGAAAATCAGAGTAGAAGAAAGTTAAAGGCAAGTTGAAGGCCACCTTAAACTTGTCCGGAAGTTAGCCACACACTAGATTTCATGACCTTTCTCAGCAACACATATGGAAAGTGACATGAAGAATACAAGTTAAGAAACTGCAACGGACTGCTGCCGGCTCTGTTATAATTTCGAGCGGCGTCTTCTGTAGTATGTCGGTCATGCGTAGCCCTCTTCATCCACTGGTTCACCCGTTGTGATCAATTGTAATTGTCATCCGCCTGTTGGAGATTTTTAGGGCATTGGACAACGCAAGCCCACAACCACCACGACAACGATCGGCTATCAGAGGTAAACACAGAAACAGTCACGCATAAACAGTCATATATATTTTACACTTCATGTCGTAGTAAACAGTTCGTCATCAAATGTACCACATTGTTTTTGTTTTTGTTTTACTTTAGAAACTAAACAATAAATAAGAAAACAAAACATATCTTAAATACATGAGAACATTTTATTATTATTATTGCTGCTGTTAAAAATAGTTGAAAGATAAATAATGAAGGAAGAAAATGTTTAATTTGATCTGAACCAAAAGTAAAAAAAAATAAACAAAACAAAATAACCTTACAACTCGAAACGCTTATCTTATAAATTTGAAAATACGTCCATAAAAATGTTACATTACTACAATCAATAAATAAGAAAAGGACAAAGGAATCAAATTATCGGAAAATGTTGTTAAAATGAATAATAAATGATAGGGAAAAAAATCGACGATACTGAAACAATAGTCAAAAATGAATTATACATTATACATACAGTAACCATATTCTGTCAGTAACGCATTTATTAATTCCTGTCCACTGACAATCCCTTTCTTCCTGATTTTAAATGCATTCCTAAAATAAAAACAGTAGAATGCATTTACATTATACATATCATAGACCTAGTCTATCAGTAAAACTTGAATCAAATCCTGACCACTGAAAATTTATTTCGTCTTAATTTCATAGAAATGCTTCTTCTTCTTCTTCTTCTTCTTCTTCTTCTTCTTCTTCTTCTTGTCATGACCCCCTTCAACTTCCTATACTTTTTTAGCTCTTAACAATATTTGATGTTTACTATCTTTCTCTCTGTTGCTATCAATTTACACAGGCTCGTTCGTTAGGTCACTTCCTGTTTTCATCTGCCCACCTTGTCTTCAATATGTCCTGTAAATATCAAGCTTCCCGAACTTTCTTTCCTATTAAAAACATTCGCTATGCATTTATATTGTACATTTTTTTAATCAGTCCACGCCAACCTAGGTGGTAATACCAATAAAACGCAGGTTACAGGGAATGAAAGTGGAGAACGAGAAGACTGAGAACAGGGAGGATTGAGGAAAGGACAAAAACGGAACAAAGATCAAAAAGACAGAAGATGGCGACTGACATAGCATTTAAATTTTTGAATATTGTAGTTACCAGGAAGCAAGAAAGCGGAAGGGAGTTGCACAGGTAGGAAGTGTGAGAAAAGAAACTGTTGGGTAGAAGTAGAGTTTGCATTTAACTATTTCAACATTAAAACGGTGGGACCTAGTTAACAATTTAGTAGTACGATTATACTCATATATTCGAGAAACGAGAAAAGACAGAGGGAAGTCGCGTCATGTCGGTGAGAAAGTGACTAAAGTCGAAATGCCTGGTCAGGATCGGTTAGATTCCATATCCTTCTTCAAGTTTTGCCAAAAATCTCGAAATGTACAGCAGGAGCACCAAACAATAGTATTCAAGGGACAGACGAATGAAAGATTTGTAAATGTGCAAAATGGATTCTGACGAGAAAAATCTAGAGTTGGGGATTTGTCTCCATCTATGCTGGTCAAACTCTCTGCCTGGAGGCAGAGAGGATCCTCAAACGAGGCTATATTAAAGAGCAGAGTTTCGTCTCGGGAAACAGCTACCAGACCCCGTTATATTCGGGGACTACAAGGAATTTTTGGTCGAGAAAAAAAATTCTGGCAGGACACAGTGAACCAAATTTTCTTGTGTTAGACGAAGCAATTGATTCGATAAAGTCGCGCCACATCATGTCAGTAGAAAACTTGAGGCCAAGAAGGCGTAGCATGTTGCTCTCCTGGGGGTTTAACATCAATCAATGCTGATGGCAGACAGAAAAGTTTCTCTGTGTATGGTTAAATGAAAGTAGTTTTATATGTATAATAACACTAGTTTGTCAGTAAAACTAGTATCAATTTTTGACCGCTGACAATCCCTTTCTTAAAAATTTGCAATGCATTATTTTATTAAAACCATTTGCAATGCATTTAGATGATACATATGAGAGTATTATATGTGTTAGTAATACTTTCATTCATTTTTGAGAGGTGACAAACCCCTTCTTCAAAATTTGCAATGCATTTCCATATTAAAATCATTTGCAATGCATTTACATTATACATACATTAACCCTATTTTTCAGCAACATTTGTATTATTTTCTAACCAGTGACAATCCCTTTCTTCGTTTTCAATACATACCTACGAAAAACCATTACCAATGAAATTCCACTAGGCATAAAATGACCCTATTTTCTTACTAATGCTTGCATGTATTCATGTCTGGTAAAGAATCATTTACATGTTATTTTTATTATACATATAATAGTACTATTTTGTCAATAACGCTTGTAAAAATTCTTGACCATTGACAATCCGTTTCTCCAGAATATGCAGTGCATTTTTGTTAATGTTATAAAGATTAACATTTCATTTCCAACCTCCGTTTTAGTTATTCCTCATTCAGTAAAACCCTTTCTAGATTACAACAGACTTTTCTCACTGAAATCCTTATTATCTCAAAAAAAAAAAACTTGTTCGCAAAATATTTAGAATTCGGTATTAAATAACTGTTGTGA